TGCTAAGGCTGATGCCACCACTAGCCCGCAGCAGCGGCTTCACTATCAGCAGCTACAGCAGCAGCAGCAGCTTCACCATCAGCAGCTGCAGCAGCTACAGCAGCAGCTTTACCATCAGCAGCTACAGTACGACATGTTAGGAGTGAGCTCAACTGCTACCAGCATGGCGGTTTCGAACAGTGCTAAGGCTGATGCCACCACTAGCCCGCAGCAGCAGCTTCTCTATCAGCAGCCACAGCAGCAGCTTCACCATCAGCAGCTACAATAGCAGCAGCAGCAGCAGCAACAGCTTCACCCTCAGCAGCTACAGCAGCAGCCGCAGCAACAGCTTCACCCACAGCAGCTACAGCAGCAGCCGCAGCAACAGCTTCACGATCAGCAGCTACAGCAGCATCCGCAGCAACAGCTTCACCCTCAGCAGCTACAGAACAACATGTTAGGAGTGAGCTCAACTGCTAAGGCCATGGCGTTTTCGAACAGTGCCGAGGCCGATGCCACCACTAGCCCGCAACACCAGCTTCACTATCTTCGGCAGCGTCACCATCAGTTACAGCAGCAGCAGCAGCAGCAACAGCAGTACGACATGTTAGGTGGTGTTGGCGGACACCATGCTGCCACAGCTGGCTGGGCCAACTTTGTCACGGAGCAGGACCAAATGTTCAATGCCCTCAGCTTAGATGATTATCTGAATTACTTTGTACTGCCGTTTCTGCCGGGTGACAGCATGCAAGTTCCCATCAATCACGACGCGTCGACGGGACGCGTCAAGCGAGTGGTGGATCATTACCATCGAAGGACCGGCCACATAGTTGTGGTCATGAAGGCTGCAATAGAGGCTTCGCACGACGTGACGACCTGACCAGGCACACCAGGACTCATACAGGCGAAAGGCATTTTCAAAGTCTACTTTGCATGCAATGTTTTTTAAGGTTGGATCATCGAAAACCCCACATGAGAACCCATACCGGTGTGAAGTCCTATAAATGCACACAGTGCCCGAAAAGGTTTCCCCGATCCGATGAAAGGCGTCGCCACATGAAGACTCACCAGCGTCAAGAATAAGCGCCGCATCTGGTATGCAGCACAGAGACGGTCCCGGTTCTGTTGACAACCCTTTACTGCCAAGCTTGCTGAGCTGTGAATCACTTCCAGCACCAATGGCAGCTGGACAATTCTCCGCCACAACCACTGCGCCGGTTTGTAGTGCAGTGTCTGCAAGATCTTCAAATGGGAATGCTGCATCGATGGCTACCACCACCACCACCACCGTGACACTGTCCCATTAACGGATGGCTGACTCATCCACGGCAAATGTACCTACCTATGTCATCAAGGGCTTCATTCGTATTACTGAGGTGTGCTGGGACGAAGTCTAGCAACTGGTTTAGAATGCGTTCTTGTACGATTGATATGCCCGTGACAGGACTATCACATGCTGACACGACGGGTCGTAGGGGTAGGTTCTGTTTATGATTCTTTGGGAGACTATAGAACTCGGGGAATCTTGTATCATTGGGGAGAATCGACTTCAGCAGCTTTGAATCCATGTTCTTGCATTTGTCCCCAAGGACAGCTTTCACCCGTGTCTCGAACTCGGTTATTGTGAGGTCAACCCTTTCGTACATAGCGCTATCTGATAGCAATGTGTCTGCCTTCTCCAGGTAGAGCGCTTGTTTCAGTGCGACCAACATCTTACTTTTGTCTGACGGTTTGATGACTGTACTTGTGTCCTTGCGGAGTTTGGCCAGCTCCTCTCGTTCCTCCTTGGTCATATTAGAGGTCGGTGGCTTGTGTTTGGTGTAGGCAGCGAGGACATCGTCCTTGAAATTCGCATGCTTCCTTTCTTCAACGTCACACATTTTCGGTGGTTGTTTAAACCCACGCTGCTTGAGCTTCCAGAGTTTTCTGTCGCCCACCGTGTCAGAAACAGTCTCGTTGTCTGGAACCTCCACCTCTTGAGGCTAGGCTTGCTGCTCGAGCAACGTGTAGGCCATCCGCTCCACAGACGTAATCACCTCCGAACGCTCACGATCCGAAAACTTGCCTGTCGAAGGAACAAAGCTCGGCCCAAGCTCCAGAATCCGCCTGGTGCTGTCCGGCACACAATCATCCACAACCAATGCCCGCTGGACACTGAATCCATCACATGTCGCCGCACTACTGGACCGAGCGCCAAGCTGGGCTTGTGATGCGGCTTGCGCAATTTCATGCTCTTGCTGGCCAGCTTCTGCACGAAGCTTGCCAAGCTACCGGGCTAGCCTTGCATTCGTATCGATGCGCTCCTCTGTGGCTACGGAACGCTTCACGGTACGGATCCTTATGTAGTCTGTGCAGAAGAACTTGCAGCCGAAAGCCAAGGCGTGGAGATGCGCTCAAGAGTGTTTTCCGCGGCTTGTGCGAATGCGGCACGACCTCCGTGCTTGCGACAAGATTGTGTTGATATCCCCTGATAACTACGTCGTCATCTATAGAATTACAGCTTATGGCATACTTGGTTGCTGTGTGTGTGACAGCTTTCCTCTGCAACTCATTTTAGTGCACAAGGATGACTTCATAAGCCAGTTCCCAGATCAAGCTGTCTTGTTTTACTTGTAGAAGGAATTGTGGAACACAGGAACTGCAATAGGGTTACCCGCTCTTCAACTATACACGTAGCTCATCAAATTTTCGAAAATGGCGTCGATGCTTGGACAATTCTCGACAGGCACACTTCGCCGAATTGCTGTTTAGGCGATTACCTATTGGGAGAGGGTTTTCGACTACAGAGCATTTCGCCGTATTCTTGTCTCTTACACACCTGGTGCCAAAATACATAGTGAAAATGTTCTGCCGGCCTTCAGAATATCAAAAATACCTTGAAACAGTTAATAATGATTGGGAATGCCTCTACGCTACGCTCTGTTCGCTGCAGAGCTACGGAAGATGGTGAGCTCACCACAGCTCGGCCTTTTCCCAGTGACCCTGGGACGATCTGGTGGGAAGAGTACCGACTGAGTCATCGCGGCTATTTTTGTCTTCATGCAGCCTCATCTGCAGGACAGCTCATCTCTCTTTCGCAGCTCCAGTAAACAGTCTCGTTTCTTCCTCTCTTGTCTTGCACGTAGGCCCCCATCATTGACTAGTTTGGGTTTTCCTCGCAAGGTTAGGCCAGTAAAATCGGGATAAGCGTCCATGATTGAGTCGGCGGTGAAAATATAACTTCGTCGAAATGTACTCGCCGAATGTGCTATTCGGCGAAAAAAATCAAGCTGCGAAACAGCACAGTCGCGAAATGTTATTCGATGAATTGACCACCTCGAAATGTCTCGCGACGGAATGTGACGCGCCTACCTGACTGTATACCAGTCGGGCTATGTGATGAGTATAATGTTCGAGAACAACTCTGTTGATGTGACACGCGTTGGTCGCCGCCCACACGTTGTGGCATTTTGTACATGGCGCCGTCTTGTGCAGTTTCCAATGATTATGTACTCGACAACATGTGGCAAGGATATTTTGTAGTGCAAGCAGTACATGCATGGAATGACTGATAATATGAACCTTGAATGAGCTGTTCTTAGTATGGTTACATAGCTGCGTGCCGGGGAATACTTTGTCATGAGGCCACCTAGAATTAATTCGTTGTTTCGGGTCACTTCACTCATCCCGGTCGGGTTTATTTTTATTTTATTTTTTATTTTGGTTACTGCCATGTATGTGCATACATATACAGTGTGCATATCGAATAGCTTTTGTCCATCAAGCCAGTCGATCAAATCATGACTGTAGACGATCCAGCGCAGTCATTGTCCCATCAGATCCAAGTAAGTCCCCTCCAGGACCAGACCTTGGCCTCGCTGTCCCCTCCAGGACCAGACCTTGGCCTCGCTGGCAAACGAGTCTGAGGAGCAGCTCTCACCTTGAAAACGTCTGTCAAAGAGCAACGCGATGGCGGAGCTGATGCTGTTTCTGGACCGATTGCGGATCGGAAGAAAACATCGTCATCAAGCGCTTCATCCTGTTATTTTATTTGGCTGCTTCTGAAGTCGATGTCTGGACTGCTAAGTGCTAGCTATTATTAGGCACGTGTGCGTGTGTACATGTTAGTACATAGTCTAGTCATGTACATTTGCATGCACTATAAAAAAAAACATTGTGCGGTCGCGTGAAAAAAGACGGTCGGTCGGGTGACCCGAAACAACGAATTAATTCTGGATGGCCTGATCTGAACCTTTTTTTGCCTCCCTCTTTTTGAGGGACCAGTCAAGAACGTAGTAGAAGTTAGTTATTGTTAGGCTGAACTGATGATAGCCCTAGACCTGCGAACGAAACCAAGGCCGCGAGCTTCAGGCTGCAAGATGGTGCAAACCGCAAACATGAGTGGTGTGACTGGATTTCATGGAGCAGCTGCATGGTTTGTAAACAGTTGGAATGGCTTCAATAAAGTAAAACTCACGTTTTTCTTCAACGCGAGGCTAACATGTTACACAACATTATGGCTGTAGAGCAAGTGGAGCCTCCGTGTTCTAAAAACAGCGAGGCTTCGAGGTTCACGTGCACACTCGAACCCGCGCGCACATCTGACTGCAACTGCAAAATCCCCACGACGCAGCCCACCAGATCAAGGTGTGGGTCATCTGCACTCAGTAGAGTCAAGTCGAGCAGGCTGGAGCTCCCGGTGCCGAAAGGCAGGCTCCCGCCCCTACGTGGCTACTTCCCCTTGTCTAACCCCCAACACGAAAATAATGGTAGTAGCCGCCATTTTGTTCTACTTTGTGGGTGGTTGTGCTTTGTGCGACTGCAACTGACTGGATGTTGCCCAGGTCACAGGTGTATTGATGGCACTTGATTGCTGTTCTAATGGCTGCTGAATGACTCTCTCTGTCAGTGCAGCACGCCAACGCACGCCATCAGCATGGTGCAGGCCTTCACTAAATACCTCTAACTAATACGTGTTACTTACGAATATAACCCTGTGCAAATGGTTCAACGCGCCAGTTTCGTGTCTATAAATTACGAGACAAATTGGGAGTACACCGCTGGTGTCTGCTAGTGCCGTAGCTTGTCGTTTGGTTTTCTTGCATTTCTTGCCCATTCTTCCACTGTATGCTATCGCTCTGGCCACTGGGAGGTTCGCTGTGTGGATATACTAAGCGGTGCAGAGGTAAATAAAGTAGATTAATATCGTCAGTATCGTATTAGCGAATAGTTCGGTGCGGTAACTGTTATTGTGGCGCAAACATCTGAAAACAAGTTTGTTTTGCCGAAGGTTGCTCCCCCTCCAGGCTCGCAACGGTTTATGGCTGATTATCACCTAGCAGTGAGCTCAACTGCTACCAGCATGGCTTTCTCGAACAGTGCTAAGGCTGATGCCACCACTAGCCCGCAGCAGCGGCTTCACTATCAGCAGCCACAGCAGCAGCAGCAGCTTCACCATCAGCAGCTACAGCAGCAGTTTCACCCTCAGCAGCTACAGCAGCAGCTTCACCATCATCAGCTACAGTACGACATGTTAGGAGTGAGCTCAACTGCTACCAGCATGGCGGTTTCGAACAGTGCTAAGGCTGATGCCACCACTAGCCCGCAGCAGCAGCTTCTCTATCAGCAGCCACAGCAGCAGCTTCACCATGAGCAGCTACAGCAGCAGCAGCAGCAGCAACAGCTTCACCCTCAGCAGCTACAGCAGCAGCCGCAGCAACAGCTTCACCCACAGCAGCTACAGCAGCATCCGCAGCAACAGCTTCACCCTCAGCAGCTACAGCAGCAGCCGCAGCAGCAGCTTCACCATCAGCAGCTACAGAACAACATGGTAAGAGTGAGCTCAACTGCTACCAGCATGGCGTTTTCGAACAGTGCTGAGGCCGATGCCACCACTAGCCCGCAACACCGGCTTCACTATCTTCGGCAGCGTCACCATCAGCTACAGCAGCAGCAGCAGCAACAGCAGTCCAACATGTTAAGTGGTGTTGGAGGACACCATGCTGCCACAGCTGGCTGGGCCAACTTTGTCACGGAGCAGGACCAAATGTTCAATGCCCTCAGCTTAGATGATTATCTGAATTACTTTTTACTGCCGTTCCTGCCGGGTGACAGCGTGCAAGTTCCCATCAATCACGACGGGACGCGTCAAGCGAGTGGTGGATCATTACCATCGAACATGAAGACTCACCAGCGCCGAGAATCAAGCGCCTCATCTGGTATGCAGCACAGAGACGGTCCCGGTTTTGTTGACAACCCTTTACTGCCAAGCTTGCTGAGCTGTGAATCACTTCCAGCACCAATGGCAGCTGGACAGTTCTCCGCCACAACCACTGCGCCGGTTAGTAGTGCAGTGTCTGACAGATCCTCAAATGGAACTGCTGCATCGATGGGTACCACCACCACCACCGCCGTGACACTGTCCCATACACCGATGGCTGACTCATCCACGGCAAATGTACGGCGGCAGCAGCTGCAGCCAACATATGTGCTACTATAGTATCCTAGGCAAGTTGACACGCGCCTACCTCCGCAGGTGTACGTACTACTAGTAGGAAGTCCTAGGAAGATGGTGTTGTAGAGTGCCGTCTGACTAGTCCATGCAGTGATGGAGCAGCTCCAGGGTATTGCGTATCATTGAGTAGTATTATGCCAGTACTGTACCTTGCCATATCCACTGTATTAATGGAGTCTGTGTGACCAATCAGACTGTGTGTCTTACGTGCTGACGACTTTCTTGCACTAACCCTGACGTAGTGTATATATTATAACTTTGCAGATTGAGTATTATAACTTTAATCTGTCCATGTAGCTTTTTGCTATGTCCCTTGCTTGGCAAGAACGTGAACCTACATCCATCATGGTGGCATTGACGTGTGCCTTGTACAAAATGACGTTATATTTCTCGCCGGCCGAGCGGGAGTGATCGAGGCGAGAAATGATTTCTCGCGCAACAAAATTATTTTTCTTGCGAATATGGAATCTGATGTTTTCTCTTTTTGTTGCTGTTCTTTTTGCCTGACTCCTTCAGTCAGTTTTTTTGTGTCTCATCAGTGTCCTAACCCTCCCACCCTTCATGTCTGCTCATCTTCTTCCATTTCTTTCTTAGCTGTGGACATGTTGTGTCTGTTTTTATGCTGCTATGTTGCCACTTGGGGTTATGCACCCGGTTTTTTCCCTCATTCGTGCGTCCGTCGGCCAGAGGGTTTTTTCCCGGCTGGCTCGGTCCAGAGAAATTAATCTGACGGTCCCAAGTGGTGCTTGTCCTGGCTGCGGCCTACTACCCTCACTCTGTGCGCTTCTGCCTCTGTTGTCTGGATCCATGTCGTTATGTCGGTGTATGTGGAGCGAGAAGGTTTACTGTCTTGTCCTAATCCACAGGGCTATTGGAAACTCTTCTCATGTCTTTGATAACTGAACCAATTACGCAGCTCAAATTACGCAGCTCAATGTACGTGTAGAATGCGATATATTGGAACGGCACTTTATTATTATTACACACACACTCATGGCCAGGGCCAATCAAGGAGGAGGTGAGGGTGGTTATAGCCAGCCATGGCAAAAACGAACAAAACCAAAAAAGTGCAAATCAGAACTACAACAATAAGAGAAGAGATTGGGCTGCAAATCAAGTTGTATTATCAGGTTTACGGGAAATGGTCCGAGTGATCACGAACAAAGGCAGAAATGTTTTCACATGATTTCAGTTTTTGGGGAAGCGAGTCCCAGAGACAATAGCTGATGAAAACAGGCGAGCGACTCATTGAGTTATTTCTTGAAATAGGGAATCTTAGTTTATTACGACTTGACGAAGAGGAGTTAAACCAGTAAAGCGCATTTTGAATATGCATTGGGGCTTTTAGCAGTTTAATTTGATGGATAAATCTGCAGCAGAGTCTGTTAATTATGGTTTGTAAAGGACATGTTAAGCATCGGGAATACAGAATGTTTGATGGGGTGTCAAGTGGCAAGCGAAATATCGCTCTCAAAATCCTGCGATGCATTAGTTCAAGCCGCGTAAGCATTCCTGCTTCAGCACTGCACCACACAATGCTACAGTATACAATTATGGGTAAGATATAGGAGGCTTAGAAAGCCCGACGACATACCAGTGTTAAATGGTTCATGTGACTGTATGGAACACCGACAGCCGAAACTGTCCGGCCCCTCAAGATACTCTAGATGATGGTACCAACTCATGCCTGAGTCAAAGATAACTCCAAAGTGTTCGTGGTGGCTATCAATTGGAATGGGCGTCCGGTCGTCAGGGAAGTGGAATAGGTACTGGTTTGATGTAGGAAAGATCAGAACGCGGATGAGCTGGAATGCACAATATGACAGTCTTTCCAGCATTAGGTCGAAGTTTCCAGAGACGCATCCATTCAACCACTGAGCGAATTCCCGACTGCAAAGAATTACACTCCATGGGCAGAGAGAGTTCAGATGCTGAACATACTTCGAGCGGTTGGGACAGCGAACCTGACACCCTGACCTGTTGGGCCCCGCAGGATAGGTAGCTTTCGAGCCACCACAGAACATCGCCACCAATGCTAAAGGTGGCGACTTTGGCCAACAAACCACGGTGCCACACTGTATCAAAGTCCTTAGCTAGGTCGAAGAAACAAACTAGGCTGAAGTTGTGCTGATGTCTGCGTTCCAACAGGTTCTGAGTAAAGCGTACAAGTTGCCACTCGCTAGAATCTCCTTTGCGGAATCTAGACTGGGCTGGAGATAGTAGAGGGTTTCCATGGGCAAACAACTGGTCGTACATGACGCGCTCACACAGTTTCGATATTGCAGAAAGGAGGGAAATACGACGGTAATCTGTTGGATGGGATTTGCTGCCCTTATTTTGGAAATGGGGACAACAACGGAGCGTTTCCAGACAGATGGAAAAACACCAGATAAGGAGGACAGATTAAAAATTAAACTCAATGGATCGCAGATTGACGGACCGTAGTTCGTTTGTAATACCATCCAGGCCAGCTGCCTTGCGCAGCTTGAGGCGTTCGATGTATTTTAGCAACGCTGGTAGGAGTTGTTCTAATGTCTGTGAAGAAGGAGGTGCTATCAGCGTCAGCAATGGGTGGGATAGTCCACTCTGGATTGTTGGAGGTGCCAAATACTACGAACTGTTTGTTGAAAACATCTGCAATGTCAGAGTGTGACGTAAACGTTTCATCCTGAACAGTTAGTTGCGTTGTGGAATGTCGCTAGCTGGGTGGTGAACGTACTGATCGGATAAAGGTATGTGGCGTTGGCCGTGATGTTGGCGTTGAGGCCTGTGAGCACAGTGTAAGGGAGTTAGCGTAAGCACGGTGCTCTGAGCGGGAGAGATTGTGGGTGTTGTTCCGCTCTGTCTTGTATCTGGCCTGATTTGCGGGTGTTGGGAATGTGTTTTTACAGACTGAATGATCAAGCTTGCTTTTGATCTGAGCTCGCAGGGCTGGTGTCAGCCAGGGAGATTGGGAAAGTTGTGGGCGACTGGATGGCTGTAGGATACGGCGCATAGGAACGTACGACGATATTGTGTTCATCAGTTTGGTTGAGTAAGTCCACTGAATGGGATGGGTTAAAAAGAGGAATCTGGAGCTCGCTGAACCAATCGATAGTCGATAAGCAATGGCCAACGAGGGATCACTCTTCGCAGGCTCGGAGGGATGTGTCGAAGGAAGAAAAGTTGAACTGACTTGGTTCGTCAGGGATAGCAACACGTCGTGTGTCACGCTGACCTTGTAATTGGAGTCTGGCGAGGACAATGTCGTGGTCGGAGGTACCCAGCGGTGCGGCGGTTGAGAGGTTAGAAAGACGTAGTATGTTGTTGGCTATAACCAGGTCTAACGCACTGGAATGACCACTGTGTTGAGAGTAATGTGTGGGAAAGGTAACGAGCTGTGATAGGGAGAGCATTTGAAGCAAACAAAGCAGTTGATGACCAACCGCATCTATGGTCGATCCATACCATTTCGAGCAACGAGCGTTGAAGTCCCCAGAGACGAGAAGCATGGAGTCGGGCATAGATAAGCGTTGCAAGATGGATTGAAATTGAGTAAAGAAATTATCGGTTTGGCGGTGTGTCAATGATGGCGGCCTATACACCGATCCTAAATAGAGTTTGGTGAGCTGAGAGTTGGAAGGTAGGGTAAGTTCAACCCACGTTGCCTTCAGATCGGGAAGGGGTAGGTCAGTCCGGTGACCGACCGTAGTAAATATTCCAGTTCTGACTAAAATAGCAACCCCACTGTAGCCCCGTAAATCATTCCTGTTGTGCCGGTTTTGATGTGTTGGCCGGTCCCTGCGGTAACAGTCATAGCCAGGAACTGTGAGAGGCTGGCTTGCGGATAGCCATGTTTCTGTGAGACAGAAAACTAGGGGGTTGTTCCTCCAGATCCGCTTCACTCACTGACTCATGATACTGCTCGACGGACCACCGGATCCCTTCATACTGCCAGCCACCCTCTTAATGCCTGCTGCTTAATGCCTGCTGCTGAAATACCTTCAAATACTCTGTCATTGACCGGTGCTGCATCATTCTCCAACAAAACTCCAACAAAACGGTTTCAGGTGGCTCCACAGGAGTCGAGTGCTTATCGCGAAGTACATCCAGAACCGTCGCACCAGTGGAGGGTACTTCGATTTCATTTGGCTTGTTGAGAGGTCTACCACCACCACCCTGGGATAAACCCGCCATGGCACGATGTAAGTTGCCACGGTGAAAGAGATTCGCAAACACTGTATCCGACATAACATCGGACTCGCTAGCTGCATGGCTACCAATCGGAATATGAGCCTGTATACATCTCCCTTCCGAGAGCAGTTTAGAGAGTCAACCAGACGACCAGCTGTCTATAGTCTGTTTCAAAAAGATTTACAATCAGGTTTGGGTCTTAAAAAGTATGAAGATAAGGGAAATTTGGACAACAAAGTACATAGAATGGCTTGTTAGGACACGGCAAATTGTTCTGTGAAGGTTTCGGAACAATTGGATCAGCCGTTAAGGAGTTAGAATTTCGGCCAGGTTTCCGGCCTTTCCCCATGGTTTACAATTTGCCCAGGAAGCCAGTATCGATTTTTTATCAAAACCCACGATTTATTCTTTCCTTTTTGGCCTTGTGGTTATGAATGCTGTCTGCTGACCATGAAGTTGTGAGTTCAAATCCCACCCTATCCTCAAGTCCAACTTTTTTCTTCATTGTTTTGGTGATCAAGCTGGTACATGTACAAGACAAAGAAGATGGCTGCACCAAACGACTTGTTGTCGTTGGAGCCCGCGCTTCCTGCCCAACTGACTGACACTTGACTGGCTCACGCCATGTGAACACACCCACAACACTGCAATGGTGTGAGTGAATATGGAAGTCATCGCGGTGTAGCTTTTTGAGATTTATTCTGGTATTTCAAGATCGCCAATTTGAATTTAGCAGTCAACGCCGTCTTCTATCAGCGTTCACAAGCGTCTGCTTTTCTCAAAATGTCGTCGAAGTCACACGGATAGCTTTGCCAAGTCATGGCCTTGGCCTTGGGAATGAGTCCGTGTCGATGTCGTTTTCGTCACACGGTGAGTAAATTGCATCGCAGCTCAAAGAAATTATTTTGGTCACAAAACGAATTGGGACCCATGCCGCTCGTCAACATTTACAACACTTTCGTTTCGACATGTCCTCTCTGACTCCATTATCGATACGAGGCCGAAAGAACTCGTTTGTTGTAAACCAGACGACAGACCATGACTGTATCAACGTGAGTGAGTTGTCATTTTTCCTGCTTTCGCGCGGAATATTTCTTCGAGTTCACAGTGAGTTTTTCCAGGCAGCGCTCGAGTGCTCCTACGGTAAGACGCCAAACTCCGCGGGCGATCGCCAGGATTGCAAATCTTTTTGAAACGGACTGTAGGCGCTGCCGCAGGTGCGAGGTGCGACACGTTGTCCTGACTCGTGCATAGTGTACTGCCTGGTTGGTGCCATACTATTAGTATTATTACTATGCCACAAACCAGGCAGTACAGGGCCAAACCGCAAAGTGTGCACAGCACAGCAAGCCAGCTCAAACAGGGCCCAGGGCCCGCACGCTCAAACGTGCCAAGCACGGAACAAAGACTATAATAGCCGATTCGCAGCGCAAGAAACCAGCTGGATGAAGGATTGGCGGACTGGACGAGCCCAGAAGGAAGCAAACTACGCGAGCCGACTCCACATGTGACAAGGAAAGTAATGAAAAAGGTTTCAAACTGATTGAATTGAACAGTGGAGTAGAAAATTAGAGAATAACC